ACTCAATATCAATGGAATAAATTATTGGTTTCAATTATACTTAAGAAGTTACGATCATTCAAAATTGTAACAGTCAAATTTCCTCGCAACGACCTCTGTGTGCTAGCTCATAAATTATCGCAAATAACTATTATTTTTGCATCATGTTTACTATAATTTTATTGTTAAATATTATTTTATTTAAATTTTACGATTATGCAACACCGAGATATTATAAGCTACAGCTCCACAATATTGTCACTGGATACGGCCGCCCAGCATTAGAATTTTTGTCGTCCTCTTTTTATCTTTGATATCACCTGTCCGTCATTTGTCACTGTCAGATAAAATCAGATGTTTTTGGATTTATTTATCCTTTGTTTTGGTTATTGAAATTTTATAATTACCAGATAAAATTTCGTAGTTAAATCGTTTATTTTTGATGTGGATCGCAGTGTGCAATTCGTTCATTTTAATTGGGGAATTTCTGAGTTAAGTTCGTTCATTGACCGGATATAGAATATGGCTGTGGAAAATATTCTAGAACATCATTTTTTATTTATATCTTTTTGTGAGTTGGACTAGTCGAGATATATAGTTCTCTATCTATACCCTGGAGGGAGATTTCCGGTTGAAATCTGATTTTGTGAAGGAAATCGAATCCTTGCATCACTTCTTGTGTACTCCCCGACTGAAGAGTATCGTCGTGAAGAACTGGCTGCCGTTTTGTGAAACATTCTCTGTTGGTAGTTAACAGGTCTTCCTAGAGAAGGATTAAGGCTTCCGAAACACATTTGGTCAGAGACGTGGTTGGATTTTGTTGATTTGTATAGACCGCCGACCAACTTCCATAAGGGATTAAATAGTCTAATTTTTCCGACCGATCGATATTCCGATTCCACGTGCCCAAGAAGTCCCCGAGAGTTTCAAGGTATGCTATAATTCTTCTGTCTATTCTAAGTCAATACTCAACTGATTTTTATTCGTATTGTTGACTGGTTTTCGACTTTTCTACGCCCACGTGGTGTAGCAAGATTAGTTGAGTGTTATCTTTCTTGAATCTTATTTGGTTGTTCGTAATTGTAGAGCAAGAAGACCGATCCAGACCTTAGCACAGAACAGTCCAGAATTCCATCCGTTCCTGTTGTCCGTGTAGAGGTACCCGTTGGACATCATAAACCCTCGTTGAGGTAAAGTTCAGATTTGATTAGTCCTTCTTTATTACCTTACAATTTTAGTTTAGGTTTAGATTTGCCATTTGTATTCCGCCCTTAGAGCATACTAAGTTTAAGTTGTGGGGGATGACGTCTTAGTTTTAGTATAGCTTAGACCATTTTCAATTTTCATTTATTCTTATCGATCTAAACTTTACTTCATTTCACAGACATTTCATCATTCTCTTTATACATTTAACCTTTTTGATATTTCAATAAGTTGCTTAAATATCTTTAGTGGTATTATTTACAGTCTGGTCTCATAGTTAAGTTAGAGTCACTTAAGTTCAAATAATTATAGTAAGATTTGAAGTTCATGGTAGTTGCACTCAACAGTTCGAGTTTAGTGTTCAAGTCTACTTAATAGTAACATCTTTTATGCCGAATTCATAGAGTATAATCTCGTGGCGCCCTTTTATTAACATCTTTGAAACCCGACCACCCGGCTGTTAAAATTAAAAAGCTAGTGGCCTCTATGCAACTCATCCCGATTAAGTTATTGAACTTCGAATTAGAAAAGGACTCGGCAAAATGTCTAAAAAATATTAAAATTAATATAATATCCTAGCTACAGCTTACGGTAGTCAGTTGTATCTATAGAGAAAACTTAATAATTAGCATACACAACAATCAACATTTTTTCTAACCACAATTTCTCTTGGAGATGATAATCAAAGGCCAAAATGGCACATGTATAGAGTGTCCAATGAACTTACTTTGATTCCAAAAATACGCCGTAGTTCTATGTCCGCGGAATATTGGGACACCCTGTATAGTAGGGTAGATTCAATAATTTGGAGGTGTTGGCTTTAGGCAGACAGTAATTTTACAGGAGGTCTTAGTTTTAAGCAGACATTTAAAATTACAAAAAATTTTTTTTCAAACGTCACAAAAGTATTAATTATAATAGGTATAATGTTTAATAAAATCATCTGATAACCTATTAAATTTCGTCAAATAAGCCAAAGATTTCACACAAAGCTATTAAGCTTCTTCACTCTTAGCTAGCGAAGTTTCTGAGAACTAAGTACATAAAGATTTCTCTTAGTAGAGTGCATCTCGAGGCTTCACTTTCAAACTCCTTAAAATTTCCGAACTAATACAGACAATCAAGTAGGTGTAAATAAATAATACGAACTTCCCGTAAAAGTTTGAATGAAAACAGTAGTAAAGGTTAAGCAAAGAGAATGTTGTTCTAGTTTTAAACAGCTCAGAAAATTTAATTGTGATAAGGACAGAATAAGAGATATGTACATCCTGCTTTAAAGTATTATGTTAATTTTTTTATAACGTCACAAAAGTATTAATTTTTGCGAAGTGATTGGCAATTTAAAGACGTCATTTTATTTAAAAAGTAGTAGACCTAGGCATAAAATTTACGCCTAGGCACAAAAGTACGAAAATATATTATTAAACTGACTGTGTGTTTCAAATTTAACGATAGCACCCATGGTTGCCCGATATATAATTATCAAAGTAATGGGGTAGTTAACCAGTGGACTGTTAACCAAAAAAATGTATCAAAAAATATAATTGCATTGGCTTTAATAATTCCTTATCGTAGGTAAGTATCTTTAATCTGTTCCTAATCCTATGACAGCGATCTTCATTTCAAAGCCATCGTTGACGCCGTTTTTTCTCGATCATACGGTATTACTCATACGTGTGTTTATTATTTTGAAAATATTTGTCATATTATTTCAATATACTTTTTATACCGGGTGTTGCATCGTCGGACAGGACATAGGAAAGCCCATGTAAATTTTAATGGGGTCAATTACTGGCTTCCCTAATTATTTTAGAGAATAATTCTATTTAGGTTTATTGAAGAGCACTAAAACCCACATTCAAAAGAATCACTTTAGATATTTTTGATTAGCTCGTTTACGCCGAGTTATCGCCGATTTCTTTTTAAATATTTCTCCTTTCTTATGGCCCTGTATTTACTTATGAGCACCAGTCAAGGTAAAAGATAACTGTCAAATGAAGTTGTCATTTCAGAAACTTACCTATTTAGTACTTTATTATTATTGAAAATTCATTTCTACATCGGAAATCTTAAAGATGTATTTATAAATACAAATTAATATGAATTAAAGTAAAATAAAGTAATCAATTACAAGGTTAATTATAGTATTATTACAATATTCAATAACTTATTAATTTAGGTACTATTAAATAGTTAGAACTTTAGGATTTAAGAAGATGTTCAAATATTCCTCCATCGACTGCTAGACAATAACCCAGGCGATCATAAAATTCTCTTCTTACATTCGCTAGTTGGTAAACTGAAATGCTATTGCATTCGGCAGAAATAGCATATTTTAACTCGTCTAGATTTGGGTATTTTTTATCCTTGTATATCCTGTTTTTTAAATGGCCCCAGAGAAAGAAATCATTTGGCGAAATATCAGGAGACCTTGCTGGCCAATTTACTGTAAGATTTAGGCCAATAACGTTTCCGTTAAAACTATTGTCTAAATATTCCCGAACAGCCAGGGTACTATGTGCCAGGCAGCCATCCATTTGGTACCAAACTTCCTGATTTTCCCTAGCGGCATCATATAAAGCAGGTAAAATATGATTTTCGAGTAGTTCCAAATAATATTCTGCATTTAAATTTCGCGTAAGTAATAATGGCCCGATAATATTGTGTCCGAATATCCCTGCCCAAACATTTACTTTCTGTGGATATTTTGTTTCGACAAACCTGTGTTGGTTTTCTTTGTTCCAATATCGATAATTTTGAACATTGGGTTCATTATTTAAGGGAAACGTGCATTCGTCAGTGAAACATATGGTTTTTAAAAATTCCCTATCCGTGTTTGCTCTTTCCATTATATCAAAACAAAACGCCTGCCGCCGTATTTCGTCCCCATCCGTAGCTCTTGGTGCTTTTCATATTTGAAGGAATAGTATTTATGTCGTTTCAAAATTCGAAACGCTGTAGTGTGATCTATTGCTATTTCATCCTCAAGTTAAGAAGCCAATAATTGACCCCATTAAAATTTACATGGGATTTCCTATGTCCCGCTCGACGATGCAACACCCGGTATAAACTTGAAACAAAAATTAAATCATATAACTATAAATCCTTTTTTTTAACTGTTTTAAAATACTACTTTGAAAAATAGCTATGATGAATGGGCAACACATAGAATCGCTAACCAGGGAAACATTAAAATATGTTTTGACTTTGTTTTGAAAAGTCAAAACATATTTTTTAATAAAATAATTTATTTAATGTCACTTTTTGTGCTTTCTGTTAGAAACCTTAGGGTTACCTTCTGTTAGTAACGTTAGAAACAAAATGGCATGCTCTATTAGAAGTAAAAATTACTTTTTGTGCCTCGCCTGTCAAGCGTACCACCTCGACACAAAATGTACCATTTTTACTCCTAATAAAACAATATATAGTAAACGCCACGAATATTTGGGAGTGACCATGGTCATCGTTCGTTACCATGTGAACTAATCTGTTCAAGGTCACATAAAACTTAATTCCAGTGCCGTGGTGTTTCAAGTCTTGTCAAAACATATATTTGGTTATAAATATAAACTGGAATGCCCCATTGGTCGCACTGCAAGCACACCAATGGACTGACGCACAAAAACGAATCAATCAAAGAAACGCGAACAGGTAGATGATTAGACCGGGCCTTTAAAAACCTACGTCTTGGGTAAAAATTTACGTTTTTAATGTAAAAATGATAGCGCGCGTGTCGATTCTAACTTCATCAAGCGACGAATCACTCCCAAACATTCGTGGCGTTTACTATACCTACTGTTATTAAAGAAAAATATACGTTGAATTTGAATATGAATTTTTAATTTTTAATTCTGATTGGTATGATTACAGTTGAATGTTTAAATAAATGTTCATAAAAGCACATAAAATTACTTATTATTATTTCCCTGTTTCAGCTTTTTTCCTGGCAGCTACAGCTGCTACCAAAGCAGCGCCTCTTCCACTTCCGTCCTCAGACAACATGATGTCAAAAGAAATTCCAGGTCGGACTAGTTCGCTCATTTTCTGGATCATAAGCCTCCTAAAATATCAATATTAATGGTTAAAACTTGAAACTTAACTTTATGTTTCTTTTCAGTGACTGTCTGAAACTGACATTAAAGTTTTTTGTCCATTTTTGCACAATATTCAGCTCTATTGTACAAGGTGTCCTGCATTTTTGAGTGTTTTACAAGGTTTCTCATTTATGAGCAGTTGTTAACGTCTACGTTAAAAAGTTAAATAATGCATTTTTACCTTGTTTATGAAAATAAGTATAATAGTATATTGTTTTATTAGTAGTAAAAATGATACATCTTGTGGCGACGCTGTTTGACGTTTGACGTACAGGCAAGATACAAAATGTCATTTTTACTCCGAATAGAACATGCTATTTTTTTCAAACGTCACAAATAATATTTAAACTTGATTTTCATGCATCCGTTATACGTTGATACGATGGTCCTACGGTGCTCTGATTGGTCATAACGTTTTCGCGCCACTTTTCATCCGTAAATATTTTACTGCAGCCCGTCAACGGATCCGTTCATACGATAACGGACGTTTTGACAAATTTAATCTAACCTTAATAAAAATATAAGTAAAATAGCAAACTCGTTATGGAAACGAAAATATCTTTGAATAAGATAACTAAGGAAGGAGCATAATGCTATCCATGTATTCACCCATGGTGGGCGGTAAAAGGACTCTAGGGTGGGGATTAGGGTGGGCCGAAAAAGCGTTTTTTTCAAAAATTTTGGATATTTGTTTTGGAATAGTGCGAAAAAGTTGCCTTTTGTTATTCCAATAAAAATGAGTATTATGAGTTTTTCAATTGTAAAACGTCTTCTGCCCCCTACCAGAACTTGAAAATGTCCGAAAATTTTAAAAATCAAATTTTGGTTTTCTGATTTGGAATACCTCTCAAAAATTTTCTTTTATTATTCCTAACAAGATATGTATTTACGTTTTTTTTATTACATTACGCCTTCTGCCCCCTACTCTTAATAAATCATAACATTTTAAACTAACCCCATGCGTAACTAAAATGCAAACTACCGAAAATACACTTCAACTACCTACACTTGCTAAAGTATGTGACAGATATGGATTATCAGACAGATCTGGCAGCAGCGGTAGCTACCGCTGTTTTACAAGATGTTGGGATTGTAACAAAAGACAGTTCAGTGCAAGTAATAGACAAAAATAAGTTAAGAAGAGCTAGAGAAAATGTTAGAAATAAACTTGAAGGTTCCTTAAAATATCAACCGATAAATGCAATTTACTTTGACGGTCGGAAAGACAAAACTTTGATTATTGAAAAAAAGGATGAGAGATCTCATAGAAAAACGTTAGTTGAAGAACTTTGGTACAAGAGCCAGGCTCAGAGTTTCTAGGGCATACAACGCCTTCTTCAGGATCAGCAAAAGACCTAGTTCGAAGTATAGTTGACTTCTTACAAAAAAATGACCATGAATTGTCAGGCTTACTAGCAGTGGGGTGTGATGGAACAGTAGTCAACACAGGATAAAAAAACGGGACCATTTCTCTACTTGAAGTGAAGCTAGGACGTCCTTTACAACGATTTATCTGCCAGCATCATGGAAATGAATTACCATTGCGACATCTTTTTTCAGCATATTGATGGCCGAACAACCGGCCCCAAGACGTTTGCAGGGTCAATGGGTAAGTTGTTAGTTCAATGTGTGTGAAAATTTAATAGTTATTCAATTTGAAGTTATTGACTGTAAATTACCCGAACTAGATTCTTGTGACTTAAGTACGGATCAGATGTATCTGTACAAAATTTGCCGTGCAATACCCTCTGGACAATTTAGCGAACCAAAATCCAGGAAAAATCAGTCATTCCCAATGGCTTACTTTGGCAAACCGACTATTACGGCTGTATATTGCCACCGAAAACCCCATTTCAAATCTCAACTCAAATTTAAAAGATTTGACAACTTTTATATTAAGAGTTTATGCGCCGATGTGGTTTATAATTAAATCGAACCCATCTTGTGAAAATGGTGCAAAACATGTTTGGCAAACCATTCAACTAACACGATATTTAAGGGATGATTTGCGAGCAATTATAGGTCCACTCATACAACGCAATGCCTTTTTTGCACACCCAGAAAACATGTTAATATGTATGATAAATGATAAGTGACCCCCGCCTCTACATTAGAGAGCTGGCAATGGGGAGGGAAGATCAAGGAGAAATTCGTCCATTTATAATACCGCAACTAAATCTGGATGCAGATGACTATACCAATTTAATAGACTGGCACAACATCACAAGAACTTCGCCCCCTCTACTTCGTAACGTAGAAGTTGAAAAATTAAAACAAATAATAAAAGAAATACAGAACAAAAATTTTGAGACTCCACATTATCCTTGTCACACCCAAGCGGTGGAAAAATGCGTGAAGTTGGTTACAGAAGCTTCGTTATCAGTAATTGGTTCCAAAAAGAGGGATGGATTTATAAAAACAAGATTGGAATCTCGTAAATTAATGCCCAACTTTGAAAGCAAAAAGGACTTTTTACAGTAAATTTATTTGTTATAATTTTTTTATTACCTTAAATAATGACGTTTCTTATTTGTTCTTCCTAATTTTTAAGCTAATAATTTAAAAGGTACAAATTATAACGTAGATAATACACCTTTTTCCATAAAAAAAATGAATTTTTATTTTCTCTTAAAGATTCCGATCCGGTAGGGGGCAGAAGAAGTAATGTAATAAAAAAACTGTAAATAAATATTTTTGTTGGAATCAGGTAAGAAAAATTTTGCGCTCTATTCCAAATCAAAATTTCATGAATAAATTTTTCAAAATTTTGGAAATTTTTGAGTTCTGGTAGGGGCTAGAAGACGCACTACAATTCAAAAACCGGTAATAAACATTTTTATTGGAATAACAAGACGCAACTTTTCCGCACTATTCCAAAGCAAATTTTCAAAATTCAAATTTTCGACCCACCCTAGTGGGAATCCTTGACAGTTCTGTTTGACGATTCATTTGACACATTTGAATTTGATTTGAAATTTTGTGGAATTGTCAGTCTTTACGGAGCTTATTTTTTTAAAGGTAGTAAATCGAGATGGAAATTGTGGCAGAACTTAAAATAACAGTGACACTATCGCGATTTTCGAAAAAGACTCTAAAATAGTTGGTTATGTAGCGTGCGGTAGATCTCGGCAAAAATTGAGTGAAATAATGGAACAACTTTTCGCTAGTAAGTGACTATATAATATACATACGTGTAATAAACCGATCATTTATGAAATTCACTTAAATTAACTAATGATTTAATTTTCTTGCATTTTTGCTTTTATTTACTACTTGTCAAAGATTAGATGTCAAAGAATTTAGATACGTCAATTTGACTTACCTGCTTCAGTAGCGTATCGGATGTTTATGGTTATAAATAATTATTATAACTTATATATTTTTATTAGAATTTTATATTTTTATAACAATTTTAATAACTACCAACATTTATTCACAACGTAAAATAAATAAAAAATTATAGAGTCTACCACACGTCTACCCTACATCATAGTTTTACATTTTTTAAATAAAATTAGAACGGCACTGATAAACCGGAATTTAAGTCCGCCATATTTGAGGCCCATCGCGGTGGACCTAAGATTTTTGATATGCTCCTTCCTTAGTCTTCTTATTCAAAGGAAAATATAAAATAACACCAACGTATATTCCATAAACGGGGGCATGAAAATGCAATAAATTTAAAAACTGCGTTATCTTCTAACCGACCAAAAGTCTTTAAATTCTACCAATAAAATTAATATCGTATCAACGTATGCATGAAAATCAAGCTTTAATCAATTTTAAACGTATTTAAAAGTAATACTTTGTTAAGTCATTATATATTGGTTACGTTCTATGGTTACGCTCGTTGAATTTGACACTTTATGTCAATATAATAATATATTTTCGTACTTTTATGTTTAGGCGTAAAAGCTGCTTTACTTTTATGCCTAGAGCCTAGGCGTTAAAATGACTTTTTTATATTGTCAATCACGTCGCAAAAATGAATACTTTTGTGACGTTTGGAAAAAGTATATTATTATGATTATTCTTTGTTGCCAGTAACCCAAGCAGCATTTGGACGTCGGGACAACGTTGTGTCACGCGATCAAACCTCGGGGCGCAACGTCGGCACAACCTCGTGCCAACCCTAGTCTGCACTAGTTTGGAGAATAATTTTTGGGTCGAAACGACGTTGGATACCGACGTTGGCTAGCAGCCTAATTTAGTACAAACTGCAACGTTGTTTAAAATCCTAATTCACAGAAATACAAAACTATAATAATATGGCGTTTAAGTCGCGTTTTTTCCTAAATTGAGATAATTATAGTAAAAATATTATTTTTATGATTTAGTTAGAGGCATATGCCAGATGGCAGTGAAGGAAAACAAAACAAAGGTATTTAAGTGTGGAGGATGTTTGAAGATCATAAATATTGAAACACTTTAACCGACTCTGTAACTCGTTACCCAAGGCAAAAAAGTTAAACACAAACAACTTCATTGATAAATGTATTGTTTCTACTTTGAAAAATACTAATGGGCTTTAAAATTAAACAAGTTTTAAAAAATTTCTTGAATTCTTTTGTCGTTTGAATGTTTTCGCGTGTTGTTTAGGGTCAAATATTTCAAGTTAATGTATTCAAAAAGCAGGAATTGCTATATTAGGAACGAAACATTTTCTTATTCAAAAACATAGCGGCTTTCACTTTGTTGTTTTGGAGATTAAGATGGAGTAGTTTGAGTAGTCGCATACCCTGGACTAATAAAGTCGCAGTTCAGCCTTAACAGATAGTATACTAGTCGCAAGATTGCCTAATTTAGTCATCCTAGAGTCTAGCTTATGCCGCCCTCTATATTCTAAATAAACGAGGGAGTGGATAAAGTATCGGTAATATGTCGATGTATATTTAAATTTAGTTTTATATGTACCTTTCTTATGTCCCATTTTAATTATTTTTTTTTTTTTATAAAAACAAAAACAGCACTGAACTGTCTGACTGAACAGAACAATGAAGTGAAAATTTAAGATTTAAGGTTATGGTTCAATACAGTCGCAAAAAGGTAGTGGCTCGGCGTCCTACCAACTTAAAAATAAGGAAATCTAAACAACGTTGGAATTAGTAAAACAGACGACGTTTGCATAACGTTGCAATAGGTCCTGAAAGTGACGTCGGAAAACTCTTTATTGCCCAACATTGTAACTACGTTGTCCGAATCACCTAAAGATCACTTAAGCAAGAAAGGTTACAAGACAACGTTTATTCGACGTCGCAGAAGCTTTTACTTTGTTGTAGAACTAGTTCAACGTCGGCACAACGTTACAACAACGTTTACATTTATTTTAATACCCAAGGTACGGAGCTAACTATTTTTTGTAACTAATCCAACGTTGTGTTTAGTAAACATGTGGTCGCAAGTCGTGAAAATGCTACTTGGGAATTAGCATATAGAAAAAAAATCGTGGGTATTTGGGAAAGCTCAAAAGAAACAAAAACATGTTTGGGTAAATCTGTGAAAGAAAATTATTGGACACGGTTTCTCATATACGAGCCTAATCATTGGAATATTGGAAAATACGATATAAGAGATATTTGGATAAGCTCCAAAATATTAACTTTTACAATACTAATTCCTTCTTAGTTTCATTTAGGAAAAAAAACAAATGGTGGTACCTAAAATGAGGATGGTGCTTATACACCGATCCGTCAACTCCAATAGTCACATTGGACTCTCCCATTCTATGCAAAAGTACCACCATGGCAGCAGATATGAGATGTGCAGATCTTCTAGATAAACACTCGCAAATGTATCGTACATTTATGCAGTCTTGTTCAGAGCCGTGAGATAAATCTGAAATATGAAAGGATGACGTACGATGTACAGGGTGGTCGAAATTGGTCTGTTTTAACAGAGAAACCCTATTTCCTGACTATATGGAGCAAAACCGACAGAGATGTCATGGGCTCGATTTCTGAGATATTTTTAATGACGTAAACCGCCTGTTGATATTTTCACTGCCAACTCAGATACGGGGTCTTTTTGAATTTTTTGCCATTTTGAAAATTGTCCATAACTTTTTTATTTCGCGGAATAATAAAATTCTGTAAAAACGTTCTTAAAGCACTTTTTTAAGCACAATCAAGAGGCGTAATTAGTTTTTTTCTATGTTTGTCCTTTTTGTCAGAAATAATAAAAAATATAATTTTTTAAATGGAAATCATAGTTGGCTATGAACTTAAAAAAACTGTGGCGTTTAACCCTTTCCAACGATATAAAGTTATGAGTATCTATTTCTAAGAATGAGAGAAATATTAGGTTTTTTATTTTTATATCGAAGCGGGCCTAGATTTTGTGTTGACCTATTTGCCTAGTTATTTTTATCACACTTTATATACTATATTATTATTTATCTGCATAATTAAAGGCTTTTGAAAAAGTAAATTAACATTCTATATTAGCATTAGTAATTACAATTGAAATCGATACAATAAACAATGAACAAAACTAAAAAACGTATGTTTTGAGTGACAAATATGGTTTTCTTAAAAAAGCCATCAAAGATGTTCTTTAAAAATATGGTTCTTCCCTTATATATAAGGTCTTTTAATTTCCCCCATAAAAAAGTCCAAAGGGGTTAGTTAAATCACAGGACCTAGCAGGCCAATATATGGGGCCCCTTTTTCCAATCCAATACTCTCTAAATTCCCCATTTAATTTGTTCAGTTATAACCCTGGCGTTTTAATTATAATTGGTTATACTAATATAGAATGTTAATTTACCTTTTCAAAAGGCTTTAATTATGCAGATAAATAAAAATATAGAATATTAAATTGTGACAAAAAATAATTAGGCAACTAGGTCAACACAGAATCAAAGCCCGCTTCGATACAAAGATAAAAAAAACCTAATATTTCTCTCATTCTTAGAAATAAATACACATAACTTTATATCGTTGGAAAGGGTTAAATGCCAGCATTTTTTTAAGTTCATAGCCAACTATGATTTCCATTTAAAAAATTATATTTTTTATCATTTCTGACAAAAAGAGCAAGCATAGAAAAAAACTGACCACGCCACTGAATTGTGCTTAATTAAGTGCCTTAAGAACGTTTTTACAGAATTTTATTATTCCGCGAAATACAAAAGTTATGGGCAACTTTTCAAATGGTAAAAAATTCAAAAAGTCCCCGTTGGCAGTGAAAATATCAACAGGCGGTTTGCGCCAGTAAACATGTCTCTGAAATCGAGCCCATGACATCTATGTCGGTTTTGCTCTATCTAGTCAGGAAATAGGTTTTCTCTGTTAAAACAGACCAATTTCGACCACCCTGTACACAACGTATTTACAATATACACAATGAAAATTGTCCTTATTGGCTTGTCGTGATTAAATTCGTAATATTTAAATAGATTTTATTTCGAATATTTTTCCAGTAAATAAGGACACGAAAAGGCCCAACTCTCGGCGTAACCGCGACCATGACTTTTTAGGTGGATTGTGTACCTTTTGGGGAGTATTTTAAATTATAAAATTGTAACCCCAAAATTCACCGAAAAATCAATTTTTCTAAATATTTCTAGTATCATTGATTGATAGGACATATTGTTTAATAACTCCGCTAAAATTTTATATTTTTTGATGATTCAAAGTTCATTTAGTTTATTAAGAGACACTGCCCTGTTAAAAACCCTGTGACAATACGAAAATTGTTCTTCATTAAACGAATGAAAATCTGATGTTTCTCCGTCGTAAGTCCTGAGAAATTTCTTGGAGAATTCCACTTCCAAGACACTTGGAAAATTCCCATTCCGGGTTACGGATGGTTCTTGAGTTCCGCTTTAAGTTGGTTGACACTTAGGAAGCAGAACGGTTTAAAGATTCAAATGAAATTTCTCCATATCATTTGAATCTCTAAAAACACTTAGAAGAAACACACACAAAACCCGTACTGTAAACTCTTGTCAAATAAATAAAATTATAATATCAGGTGAAATACTTACAAAAAACTGCATTTAGCTGTTATTTTTAATTACTTTGTAATCTTGTGACACCCTGTATATTTTATTTTAAGAAATTCTATATTATTTTGAAAAAACAAATTCTATTTTATTTAAAAGTAAATAAGATAGATATTTAATTTTAACACTCGGTAATTGTAAATTCATATGTATTTAGTATCTAAGACAATTTTTTAAACTTTTGTTAATACTAGTAATAATCAGTTAGTTTTATTGGAAATTATCAGAAAGTAAAAAAGGCTTTAGCATATCGTCGTGCTTTATTTAACTAGAACATCATTTGGATGTTTTTGTCTTGAAAAAGATTTCCGAACTGACACTATTGGTGTATTCATCAGCTGCCCATCCGCGGAAAGGTCCAGCCTTATTCGGACTTGGCCTTGAGGCCGGGCCTTTCTGTGTATGGGCAGCTATTAATTTTTTAAACTCAGTGCCTTTCGATGGAGTTTCAGTTAAGGTTTCAACAATTACAGCAGCATCCTTACTCCCACTATCCCTAAAGTTCATAGTACTTGTAAAACCCAATTCTTCTTTTGAATGCTCTTTAATTACCATTTAACGAGTCTTTTGTTTCGTTTTTATACTATTCGATTGAAACCTCGAGCTCCCTGAGACCTCGAGTTAACCTCGAACTCCCTGTGACTGTGACTACCTGTGTTATTGTATAGAAATACAAATATACGAGCAAAAAATAATTCACCCATTTTTATAACAATTGGAATGTCTACTATAGTCTGTAAAACGAATAATTTTGGATTTGAGAGTTCCCGCGGGCTTTTCTAGTGTTAATTTTATTAGGTTAGCAACTTGCGGCCATGCTGACGCAATGCCGTCTCTAACAGAACAGCCTCGGAGCGAGATTTATGACGTCACGCTAGTTAGATACTACGGATTAATAAATATGTTGTAGAATACATGGAAAACATAATTATTCTTCGTATCTTTGGTTTGTATTTTAAAAATGATATAGTTTACATGAAATATACATAATATACAGTTAATAAATACAATATATATACCTATTTATAGTAATAAATATGGCTGAAATCGTACTCCATAATCAATATAGATAGTTTTAGTGTTAAGAATAATAATTTAAAAAAATATGTGGTCATCTCTTGACAATTTTATATTAGTTTATTAATTGCAGTAAACATTATGTGGTGTATGGTGTGAATATTTGATATGTAATTTTTTTGATTATATTCGACACTATTTTTTTCATATATAGATGAAGGCTATAATGTTAGCCGAAACGTTGTTTTAAACCAAATAAAAATAATGAAAAACAAAATGAAAACTTAATCAGCGTTTTTCCCGAACCTAAATCCCAAGAAAATCAAAAATGTTAGAATAATTTTACATATAAAATGACAGCGATATTGTATTATTTGCAAATATAATTTTTCGAACATTGATACTTGCAAAAGCAAAATATACATATAAATTTTGTGAATGCAAATAATAATACATCACTATTAGTAGATATCGAATGGTTTTTGTTAAATTAGATCGATTTTCAAACCCCAAAATTTAAAATATATTTTGCATTTTAGCCATTATCTTATGTACCACCTATTCATTATTTGTATATTGTAAAACATTTGCTGCATTTGTATGGTTCATAGTTTATTTACCAAAGTTTTTGGTAATTTATAGTACTAAATTTTATCAAATTTATTACTATAAATAGGTATATATTATATTGTATTTTTTTTGTTTCGTTTCTTTGACCTGTATACTATATATTTTTTGTTTTTACTCTTGGCTTTAGGTCGTTGGGTTGCAAAGATATTTCTAGATTTTGTTCATTATTTTATTTTATGGCCAAAATATCATTCATAAAATAAAATAATGAACAAAATGATGTCATAAAATAAAATAATGAACACAATCTAGAAACATCTTTGCAACCCCAACGACCTAAAGCCAAGGGTAAAAACAAAAAATATATTATATTGTATTTATTAACTGTATATTATGTATATTTCATGTAAACTATATCATTTTTAAAATACAAACCAAAAATACGAGGAATAATTATGTTTTCCATGTATCCTACAACATATTTATTAATCCGTAGTATCTAACTAGCGTGACGTCATAAATCTCGCTCCGTGGCTGTTCTATTAGAAACGGAATTGGTCTGATATTTAGAAATGTCAAAAGCTGATGACATTTTTCTTTTGTGAATTGTGACATTTCGTACTGATTTTTGCGAGAAGAGGAAGAACTGTCACTTGTTTTATTATTTTCCTTTTCTATTTCACGAAAGTAAAAAGAGTTACCTATCTGATTCGTTCAGGCACTCAATTTAAAGAATATCAGTAACTTTTTTGACAGAGGGATTTTATATATGCCATGTTGGTAAAAAATAACGGTCAAAATTCAAAGTTATTCTTTTTATAGACTATTTATTTGGTTTATTTCTAACAAAACGGTTTTGTCCCCTCTAGATTTATCATCCGCCGCACTTCGTTGTGTCAAACTCGCCCGTCAAACGCAAAAATAACTGTCACTGTCTAAAATCTTTAGCGCGAACTTCAACTCGATCCGTAGATGACGTGAAAAAACTTACATTATAGGAAGTATAGGGATCGAACTATCCTTATCTTTATAATATCCTTGAATCGGGCCTATGTTTCTTACGTGGGGAATCTTCTCAAAATGACACGTTTTTTGAAACGTATAAGATAAGGAAACTATGATAACTAAAAAAATTAATCGCTTACCTAATTCACGAAGAATGTCTCTCAACCTTGTATACTGTCTGGGCTGGTCCGACTCGATGTCTGATACGAAGGCGCAGGAAAATCGATCTCTGAAATAACAAACGTGAATAATTAACAATTTTATGACAAGCACAATACGTTTATTTAAATTTCGAAGCACTACGTGATTCCAAATGCCCCCGTAAAAACGATTATTAATTAAAATTGCACCAATTTCACAGTTTCGATGATTAAATCCTTTGACAGCATACACAATCATATTAATATTGAAAATACGGTTTCGATATACATTTATAATGAGGAGGATAACTTCGTCAGTGTCAAATTGTAATTATAGTATATTGTTTTATTAGGAGTAAAAATTATCCTTTCTGTTGCGAGGCTGCACGTTTGACACATTACAGGCGCGGCACAAAAAGTAATTTATACTCCGAATAGAACATGCTATTATTTTTTCAAATGTCACAAATAATTTTTTAAACAATTTTAAACGTTCCAAATAAGGTTTAAAAGTAATACTTTGTAGGTAATTATATATCGATAAACTATGGTTAGGCTCGTTGAATTTGACATTTTATGTCAGTTTAATAATATATTTTCGTACTTTTCTGCCAAGGCCGTTAAAATTATATTTTCATAAATATTGCCAATCACGCCACAAAAATTATTATTATTCTGACGTTTCAAAAATTAGTACCGTATGATCGAATAAAAACGGCGTCTACGATGGTTATGAAATGAAAATCGCTGTCATTTTATATGTAAAATTATATAGAAAATGTCATCGATCGTCATTTCCAAGCCAACTGGACGCCGTTTTTTTTTCGATCATACGGTATATTGTTTTATTAGGAGTCAAAATTACACTCTTTGTGGCGAGGCTGTACGTTTGACATACAGCCACAAAACATCCCCCTTTAGAACTTTTTCTTTAATGGCCATAAGCGGGAGTAAAAGATCAACCGCCCGAACAAACACTAGAGGCGCCACCGGTCATCAAATGGTATAAAAATTGCGAAAATTTAATCATCTAATTTTGACACAAGGGGTCGCGCTTAACTTTATCAATTTTAATTCAATATTCATTGTTTTCAAACTATATTATTCGACTTTGTTGTATTTTATGAATGTATAAATGTTTTCTTAAGTATAAAGTTGCATTAAAGTTTTTTTTTTAAATTAAAAAAAAAATAAATTATATTACATACATATTGAAGACTCAAATATTATGACATATATGTCAATTGCCGTCTAAAATGTCATCTTGATAAAAAGTTAGTTATCGTCAAAAGTAGTTAAAATCACGTTAAAATATTAAAATTTACGAGTTATAATTAGATATTTTATATTATTTCAACAACAAATACATAATAGTACAGCGTAATGTTGATATGCAGGTCCAAAACAAAAAGTGCCGTTATATTTTTCAGTTTTCGTTGTCAGCCGTGGAAGTTTCAGTGATTTTAGTGTTGTTGGATATTTTTCTTTGTGAAATAGAAATATTGCGTTTGGATTGCAAAACTAAAAGTGGAAGTTTTATTGCAATGTAAGTAAGCGTTTGTAAAATCGCTTATTTCTGGGGCTTACTCAACCGGGTCTCGCAATGCAAATTCACCTCAAATATCCATTTAGTTGGTCAATGGCAAGCACTCTCTCATTGTACATGAAAATAACAAAACAAACATTTACTGATCTGGATAAAATTGATAGTTAAATAGTAAGACTCACCCGTCCCCTAGCCACTGATATATTCTATTCAATATATCCCATTCCATATTTTCCATCTAATTCAAATATCATTCGGATCTATTGGTTAATAATCTTCAACAACTAGCTAGTATCACCTGAAATAGTATAGGGGCTTCCTCCGGACGCAACTCTGCCGCTAAACAGATTCGCATCCCAATCGAATACGCTAATTAGGGTACCTCACTAGTCTTTCTACCCCAACGCCGCATCGTGTCAATCGAGAAGACAAGGGAGACCTCAAACTCTCAAGACCAACCTCAAAGGAAAGACGTCACCAGAGGTTTTCTTCCGGTCAAACGACCCGTTGCCTTACAGTACATGCAACGTTTATAGCCAAAAGACTCTCAACCCCCAAATATCAGCTCTATGACAAAACACAACACAACAGCCGGCTGGCCAGTCTACTACTGAACCGCCGCGCGCCGTAGGCAAGCTAAGCCTCCTCTTACATCACAATTTTACCGGATCGTAAATGTTTACATTACTTGCTAATGAATCATACTATTTTCTCTAATCTACTTTAAAATAGAGTGTTTTAGCATTACTAGATAAATAAATAGAGAGTTTCCGAATTATAAAACCATTATTATAACCAACTTATTTTCCGAGTTTTACATGTTTGTCCATTTTATATTTTACTTTTTTCATACCTACGACAACATATTATATTGAAATAACGACATATATTGAAATTTTATAATTCGTTTTATTTAAAAAAATGTTAGAAAAGAAGCTTGTAATCCTGTAATTGACATAATTGTTATGTAATATATTCCATTTAAATGTAATATACTACTTTTCAATCAAAAAAATGTAAATTTAAAAAATATATTGAAAATATATACAGGCATTAATTGAAATTTTTTGAGTGCGAACAAACACGAGAGGCGCTTTATTATTTACTTTCATTTCTTAACATGACAGACGAAGTTCTAAAGGGGGATGTTTTGTGCATACAGCCGAGACACAAAAAGTCATTTTTACTCCGAATATAACAAGCTACTTTTTTTAAACGCCACAAATAAAGCTTGATTTTCATGCATCCGTTATCCGACGATACGATGATACGATATTAATTTTATTGGTTGAATTTAAAGATTTCGATTGGTTAGAAACGGTTAACCAATCGAAGCCTTTCAATTCAACCAATAAAATTAATATCGTATCATCGTATCGTCGGACAATGGATGTATGAAAATCAAGCTTAATTCTGTAAACAATTTCAACCGTTCCAAATAGTATAAAAATATTTAAAAGTCATACCATGTTTGTAATTATATATCGAGAAACTACGGTTACGTTCGTTAAGTTTGACACTATCTCAGTTTAATAATATATTTTTTTCCATAGCAACTGTTAAAATTATCTACTACTATCTATCAAAAATAGTAGATAAAATAATACTTTAACCGCAAAGGTAGATTAAATGATACTTTAACAGCGAGGATAGGTTAAAAACTTTATTTCTTCTCGCACTTTTTTTAATTGCTTCCATTTTTGAAAATTTTAGTATTCCTTTTCATAAGTAATTCGGGATTTAAATGAAAGTAGTTTGGATATGGCGTTTGTCGCCACAGCCTGAATATCTATTGGTAATTTACTTATTTTGTTTTGAGCCATTTCTGGCTCCAATTCAATCAGCAATCGACACGGAAGAGATTTAAAAACTATTGACTCATAACTGACAACTGAAGAGACAGCTTTATTTATTTGTCAAATTACATAGAAACCAACGCCAACCCAGCACAATATTTTTTCTACTCGTACCTATATTTCTGAATATTTTTTAAAACGTAACTCGCTGTGGAAAAAAATATTGTTTTATACACGACGATCAAATTGCATTATCGTCTTGTATAAAAAAAATAACTATTTGCCCTTTTATGCTTAGGCGTAAAAGTGCTTTACTTTTATCCCTAGGCGTTAAAATGACTTTGTTATATTGTCAGTCACGTCTCAAAAATTAATACTCTTTTGACGTTTGAAAAAAAAAATTTTTATACAATATTTCTAGATTTTTTTTTCTAGAAAATACCTGGTATGAATACTTACTGTTCCTTTAAAGCATCAGAAGCTTTTCCTCCAAACATCAGACCTTTTTCCGTAAATTGAACTATATATCTCCTAACCATTTCTCCCATGTACATTCCCGATATCATTTTTTCATGCTGCTGTCTTCCTCTGTTTATCGAAAGATCATCGATAGTCCTGTCCACCTCAGTCCTAACAAAGTCCAGACATCCGTCATCGCCGAAAGCACCCATTTCCAAATTGATGATGACGTTTCCAGATCCCATATCCGCCTCGTCGAACAACTCTGCATTTTTTTGCTTCTCCACGTAGCAGCCGTTGTTTCCCGTGCCCACGATCAACCCTATACGACAATTGGGGTTCTTCCAAGCGCACGACATCAAGGTACCCGTGGTATCATTCAAAACAGCGCAGACATCGATTTTCACGTCATCCCTCCTATCGATGGCCTGGTTTAGAAGTTCGACTACATCCTTACCTATAACGTCTGGACAGTTAAATCCTTTGGTCCATCTTTCCAGGATCCCTACGCATAGACCTCTCTGTTCCAAGGGAAAGCTGAAGGTGAAGCCTAAAGGCAGGACTTCGTGTTGTATCTTATGCTCGTGGACAAAATCCGCCAGGCACTCGGCTATGTGGTCGAATAAAACAGCTCCTGGACCCACCATGATATTCTGGGGCACGGCGTATATCTTGGACTTCATGTCGCACTTTCCCGCGTCCAGTTCCACGAGCAGGACCCTGAAATTAGTTCCGCCCAAGTCGAGAGCTAAAAATTTACCTACTTCCGTGCCGTTGGGTAAGTCTTGGACGTATGTGGGGAAACATTTGACGATTGCTTCTTTGTGGGTGGCCTTTTTCAGGCCTCTTTCTATGTTGTCCTGGAAGAGTTGCATGACTTTTTGTATTTTGGCGTCGTCCATCCAGGTTTCCTTCATGCCTTCGAATACTTCCGGGGTGATTCTAGGATCGTACCAGGTTCTTACTCCGCCCGGTCCAATGTGGACTGGTTCGGCCATCTCGGCGGTCTTTCCATCACCCGGCTGGATACTACCGCCTCCTGGAGGGTTGCATTTTTTGCTTTTACACGACATATTTTTTTTAGAATTTGGTCAACAGAAACTAAAAAATTTTGAAAGTATTACAGTAAATTTAGAAACATAACTTTGACACGTAATGAAATAGAATGACAGTTACCGTCAGGCAACAATTTCTTACCTTTTAAATTGTTTTTTCACCTTGATAATAATATAATGGAAAATAAATTTCTTGCAGTTTTTAAGTATATAATAAAATTATATAAGAGTTTCTTGCCTTGAACTGCTAATATAGAAATTAATTCCAAGCTGTGTCGAACACAGCTTGGAATTAATTTATATATTAGCAGTTCAAGGCAAGAAACTCTTATATAATTTTATTATACTTGATAATAATGTTTTCTGCTCACTAGTATAGTCTAATATCCCCCCATAGTCCAAGAGCTGGGAGTAAAATAAACTGCCTCATAAGTTACCAGGGGTTTGATGCTGGAATTATCAAAATCAATCAACCTTGCGATATACAGTGTTCAATTTTGGTTGAAATCATACAGTACCTCCGTTATTAGTGAAGATAGAAGCATGCGGTTTGCACAAACGGAAGATACTGTAAACAAAATTTTCATTGCTCCCTTATGCTTCGTGCTATAAAAATTTTGTTTACCACTGTATACCGGGTGAGTCTCAAAAGTGGCTCACCCCCTATAACTTTTTTATTTTTTCAGATAAAAAAACGAGATTTGGTATGTTAGTATGTGACATAAATTAGGATTGATTGGTGTATTCAATTGTTTTTCGTCACTTCCTGTTTTACTAGAAATGACTACAACTTTTGATTTTTAAATGGCACCCTCGGTATTTTTTTACTTTATTCGATAGAAAATGTCATTCTGACTATGATATATCATATGTCAACTTTTGACATTCTTCTTAATTAAAAATTGTATTTTAAAACTCAATTGGGAGTGCCATGGTTATGTTAAAAATACTAATTCTTTATCAAGGAGCCTTGGAAAAATAGATTTGATCGTCTAATGTTTTTAGTGTCTTGTCCTGGCCAGTTGGAAAATTCTCAAATCGTATTTTTAATCATAACTCAATTTTTTTCAAATGCAACGAGGGTGGCTCATTAGCATATTTGGAAAAGGCATTTTTTACGAATAATTTGATACCACACACTTGGTATTTCAAGTCAAATTTTCGTTACGAACCGCAAATTATAATTTCAAATAACCATATGCGAAAATGTCAAAAGTTGACATATGATGTGTCATTCTATTCAGAGTGACGTTTTCTATCGAATAAAGTAAAAAAAATACTGGTGATGCCATTTAAAAATCAAAAGTTGTGGTCATTTCCGGTGAAACCGGAAAAGACCGAAAGTAATTGAATACGTCAATCAATCCTAATTTATGTCATATACTAACATACCAAATCTCGTTTTTTTAACTAAAAAAATAGAAAAGTTATAGGGGTGAGCCACTTTTGAGACGCACCCGGTATATATACCACCCTGTATATCGTAACGATGACCGCAAAGACTCGGCAGACGAGCGGTTTTATACTAAGTAATGCTACGCAATACTATTGCAATTCCAGTATCAAACCTCTGATAACTTATGAGGTAGTTCATTTTACTCCCAGCTCTTGGACTATTATTTTACTCTTCTGTCAAATTTAAACTAAAGTAATTGGACTAAGAATAACAAACTGGAATTTTACTGGAATCAAACTCAATTTTACTCGCAAAAATGATTGATAATTTTATTAGACCGATTTTTTCTTTGATTTTTTTCTGATTATCCGTTTGAAAATAAATGATAAAAAAAGCATAAAGCCTTGCTGGCCCCCAGTTTTAACGTCCAAAAGATTTCCCCATCGATGGAAAATTCATTTCGGTTTATTAATTTCTTTGAATACGTGTCGCCGAGCTGTCCCAAAAATCTGATTTATGAAGATCATTAATTTCGCATTTCGTGCGGAGAGAAGCTTTTGCTAAATTTAAATTATTTTATATTTTTCGACTTTGCGAAAGATGATATCATCTTTGACAGTTCCAGACGGTAAGATTAATTTATTTTCAAAAAATTACAATCTAGAAATAAGAAAGAAATGAGCAACTCTTACCTGAAAATTTTTTTAAGATACGCAAGTATTTTACAAATCTAGTGAAGAATAAATATTAAAAAAATTGGCGCCGGGAGGCACGTATAGCCGCCCATACTAAAATATGTTAATATCTCGAAAACTGCGACTTTGAATGATTTTGATGTTATTACAAATTTTGTTGCAAATATTATTCCTAATCTTAATTTGAAAACCGCGTTTCCTAGCTACTGTAATTTTGGAGTTACGATTTTTTTAAATTTTTAATTCGTAATTTAACAAAACTACTGGAAACCACTCTAAATACCAGTTGTTGGTTAGGGTCAAATTTTTTTCTCTTTTTAAATAAATTTAAGCATTAACATTATTAGGAATTTGCATAAAGGTATGTATTTTGGGTGGTATTCCACAACATTTGCAGGCTATTGAGGAAACAGAAAATGTACAGATTACAGAAATAAATAACATTTGTTTTAAAACTGTCACTTTTTTAAACATTTTTGAATGAATCATTGTCTACCACATTCAAATATAGAGGTCAAACCACAAATAATACTGATTTCTGTTAATATTCTAATTCAGTTTTATCCTACACCAATTTTGTTTCTTTTTGCTATAAAATAGAACAATTCTGGGTAAAATTTTCATACAATGAAGGTAGGAACGAAATAAATCCGAGAAGCGAGCTTGAGTAAATTTTGACATATTTGAAAACTTCTCCGGAACAAACGCGGTTTGTTCAATGGCCTTCGATAAAAATGGAAACCAAATTAAACTCGGTTGTGCCTCATTTTCTCTCGCCAGCGCTCGCTGAAAGATTTGTTTGCACGGTTTTTGCACCCCCCCCCTTCCCTTACGCCCTTCCACAGTTCGTATATTCCACCGCAAATCGATTCAACGAAGGGGTGGTAGCGACACTGAATCGTAATTCCTCCCAGCATCCCTCCAAATTAGGTGTCGGAATGTAGCGATTCGATGATCTACGCGGGGGAGCATAATGGGGGACACGGCAGGATACGGCGTGTTATGGAGAGTTAAACGATAACAAATAACAGTATTTTTTATTTCGTAAAGGGGTAGGTACTATGTTTACAAATTGCGTGCTTTAACTTGGATTTGCTTACAGATATACTAAAGGCTGGCAAAGGTTAGTCTTGGGTCGAGATTCCGTATGTAAGAAGAATACAATGCGTTTATAATGTACTGAACAAAGAGAGGACAGTAAACACGTTGCCAAACGTATGAAATAAACCGAGAAACTGTGCACATCGCTAAGAGACGTGGAAGGGGATATAGCAGATTTGTCGCAGTTGACAGGTCGACAAAATCAATAATCAATACCTCTGTCAGTACTTAAAGTTCTAGGGAAAGGTGTACGTCATGCGTTCAGCTTCACGATTTAATTACGTCTCGTGATTCTTAATTTGTTTTTTATTGTTGTTGTAATTTCCCTTTAGCTTGAATTTTTTTAAGTGCAAGCTAGAAACACTTGCATTTTTGGTAAATATAAGTGGAATTGAGTGGGTGTTCGATAGTGGTCGCGCTATTAGAACTCTGAAGTCAAAAATCGATATCTCGAAATCTATTAGAAATAATAGATTGTAGTTTTTTCAAGAACTTTGTTAATATTTCTGTTGTATTTTCTTTGTAGACAGTATGTGAAAATCTTTTTATCAATAAAAAAATTACAAGATTGCAGAAAATTCTTATGCTCTAAAAGTGAATGGATGGATTGTTTACAATTTTTGAATGGAAAAAACAACCTTATCGAATTTTTCTTATGTAAACATACTGTAAAATATCCGATCTTGAAAATAAAAAAAAGTTTCAATATCTAAAGTGGTTCTTCAGTTATGGCTTGTAATGTGTTAAAAAGTTGAGTTTTTAAATTATCGCGATTACTGACGTTTTCTCGTTATAAAAAAAATGACACCTTAACGATATCCTTATAATTCCATTTCAGATGCTCAGAAACATGTCTAATGATTTTATCTAGTTGTCTTGAAAAAAAAGTCTTTTAAAAATAAGCGGTTTGCGATCGTGATTTTACTTTACTTATAGGGAAAGACGTACCGACAACACCGCAACAGCACATCGTCACATTTCTCTCACTCCGACTTAATAAGATCCCTATGCGATTTACTTCCACACATGTAAATGCCGACCCAAAAGTAACAGTTGCCAGCACGGTATAATTCAATGTATAATTAGTCCCGGTCAATTTTTTTACCGTCCACTGTTTTGTGGTTATTTTTGTAATTGCTCTAGCAGCACCACAAAAGTATCCTAACTACAGTACACAGATCATTTTAAACTTATAGCTAGAATAAATTGATTTGAAAAAAGATATTCGTGGAGGAAGTGAAGGTATTTTGGAATAGTAGTTGAAAAATTGCAAAAAGTTTAAATGTTGATTATTTTGAATAAAATTAATAGCGTGCCTTAGCGTACAAACATAGTGGGGCATCTCGATACGATGCTCGCCGCGATCCATCCTAGGCACACGTTTTAAGCACGGTTTAAAAGGGCGCGTAGCGGTGAGCATCGCGGCGAGCATCGCATTGATATGCTTCGCTATGTAGGTATCCTTAGGGTACAAATATAGTGGGTCATCTTGATGCGATGCTCGCCGCGATCCATCCTACGCGCACATTCTAAGCACTGTTTTAAAACGGCGAGTAAGTGCGCGTAGAATGCATCGCATCGAGATAGTAAGTAGGTGCCCTTAGATCTACATATGTTGTATGCCATACCAAAGTTTCAAAGTGTTTAAAGTAATTTAAATGAATTTTTTCACTCATGAAAAAAAAAGTGCAAAAAATCTCTGTCGACGTAACATGAGGTAATTCGGAATACCACCAAAATAGCAGTAAATATATTGTTTATATTAAAAATGCGAATAAAACATTGTTAAAAAAGAATCCAAATATTTATTAAAAGGGAAAATTAGGTAGAATATTTACAGTAGTCGCACACATATACATTCCAGCGTCATATCCGACACAGTCATATCCGATACAGAGTGCATTCATGATTCGCATGTGAAGCTCTAAT